CCACTGACTTCCTGCAAGATGGAGTTGTCAGACTGCTTCCACCCGCCCGCTGCCAGTAGTATGCCTCCCGCCCAAGCCCGCCAGGGACAGAATGGGAGGGGCGGGCGGGGAAGCTGGCATGCTTGCCTGTGCTCTGCCCTCTGCCCCTCCGGGAGGCATGACTGTGACCGTGGGATGTCCCCGTGGCCGACCCCTAAGCTTCCACCCTCTGGACGGAGGAGAGTGAGGGGGAAAAAGGAGTTCAGGAGTCTTGTCTCCCCTCCATCTTCCCGCCTAGGTCAGGCCAGGATCTGCCTCTCTTCTCCCTGTCCCTGTTCCCCGTTCCTCTAAAGGAGTGACTGGAGAAACTGTCCGTCTGTGTTTGTGATTGTGATTAACATCGCAAAAACCTTCAAAGAATCTCAGATCGGTTAGAAGCCCGTTGGGTTTCACTTCTCAGGCGTGAGGGGTTGTTATCTCCCCCGCCCTCTCTCTTGATTTTTTTTTTTTTACAAATTGTTAGGGAAATGGTGACATACAGAACGGTTAAAGTATGCCAGTCCGCACCGGTGGCTCGCGTCTGTAATCCTAGCTGCTCAGGAGGCTGAGAGCTGAGGATCACGGTTCAAAGCCAGCCAGGGCAGGAAAGTCACCAGACTCTTATCTCCAATAAGGCACTGGAAAATCGGAAGTGGCGCTGTGGCTCAAGCGGTAGAGCGCTCGCTTTGAGCTGAAGAGTTTAGGGACAGCACCCAGGCCCAGAGTTTAAGAAACACCACCGACCCCCCCCCCCAAAAAAAAAAAAGGATAGGAAAGATTACATTACATAAGTGGGGTAGGAAGAGTACATTTTTTTTTAATTAATAAGTTTTTTTTTTGTTTTTGTTTTTGTTTTTTTTTTTCTCGTGGGGCTTGAACTCTGGGCTTGGGCGCTATCCTGCCCGGGCTGGCTTTGAACCGCGATCCTCAGATCTCAGCCTCCTGAGTAGCTAGGATTACAGGCGTGAGCCACCGGCGCCCGGCTAATGAGTTGTTTTAATTGTGAAAATACTTACAGAGTGGTTACAATGACAGGAGCAAGAGCAAGGAAATGAGTACATTTCTTATCAAGCATTGCTGCCTCCTCCTTTGTTTCCATTCCTGCCCTCCCATTTCCCCCCACACCCAAAAAAAGAGTACATTTTTTTTGGACAATGTCACCCCTTCCCTGGCTCTCTCACAGATTTTCCCTCCCTCAAGTTCTGTTTGTTCCCCAGCCACAGGTTGTGTGTCAACATAGTGTCTAGTGAGTGCCACTGTTGCACTTCTTCATCCTGGGTCCCTCCATTTCTTGCCCCTCCCGGAAATAGATGAAGGAAGAAACAATGGGGGGGGGGGAAGAGAAAACAAAATAACGTCGATGATAACAAACACAAAGAAAGGGGAAGACTTCTTATATGATCAGAGGTATATAGGCATTGCACTTTGGTGAGCCTCATGTCTTCAATTAAGCAACCCAAAGGCCAGAAGTGGAGTTTTGGCTCAAATGGCAGACTGCCAGTCTCTCTGTTTTTTTTTTTTTTGGCACGGGGTAGGGGGTGTCCGGTCGTGGGCCTGAACTCTGGGCCTGGGCGCTGTCCCTCAGCTCTTCAGGTTAAGGCTAGCACTCTACCACTTGAGCCACAATGCCACTTCCGGCTTTTTTCTGCTTATGTGGTGCTGAGGAATCGAATCCAGGGCCTCATGCACGCAAGGCAAGCGCTCTACCACTGAGCCACCTTGCCAGCCCCAGAGTGCCAGTCTTGAGCACAAGAGCCACGGGACAGCACTCAGGCTCTGAGTTCAAGTCCCAGGATTGGGGCGTGCACACACACACCCTGCACCCCTTGATCTTTGCTGCTGTTTCCTACCACACAGACACAGGCACGCATGGCAGCATGTGATCTACCTCTTCCCCTTCCCCCCCCCACACACTTTGCACTGCCACCACCGCCGCCGCCGCCGCCGCCGCCGCCGCCGCCACCAACTATAGCAACAGACTTCCTAGGCTTCCCCTCCGCGCCCGCCACCCTCCCCCCCCCCCCCCCCCCCCCGGCCCCTAGTTTAGATCGATGAACCAAAGTGTCCCCACTGCACGTTCGGCTCTGGCAAATATCAGATAGGATTACAGTGATGAGGAGAGAGGAGAGACCGCCATGGATTGACTGTAGATCCCAGAGGACAGAATGCCAGCCCAGGCCCATTCATGGGTCAAGCCAGGAAAATGTTTTTTGGTTTTGTTTTTGTTTTTCATTTGCGGTCTCTCTCCACACCCGGTGTGCTTTGTCTGTCTGTCTCTCTGTGCGATAGGGGTTTGCCATTCATGACCTGTGTGGGCGGGGATGCTGGGGCGTGTGTGTGTGTGTGTGTGTGTGTGTGTGTGTGTGTGTGTGTGTGTGTGTCTGTGTGTGTGTGTGTGCGTGCGTGTGTGTGTGTGTGTGTGTGTGTGTGTGCGCGCGTGTGTGTGCGCGCGCGCGCGGGTGAGGGGGAGGTGTTCCTTCCTCACAAGACCTTCCTAAAGTGTCGGTTCGGTCTGGATCGATCTTGGGCCTGACGTTGTTTTTCCTTGTTTCGGGGTGCCACCTACCGGACACCGTGTGGAGTGACAGGGAGTGATTCGGGGCTGATGGCGGAGGCTGGCGACTCTCGCGAGAGTCTCGCAGACTCTCGCGAGAGTCGCGATGAGGTATCGCCGGCTCTCTTCTGCGGCTTTATTTACAACAAAACAAAATGAAACCACAGCAAACAAGGAAATTTTCTTGAAGGGAGGGCCGAGCGGAGGGGGAGGGGGGCCCGCAGGGGGTGTTTCTTTTCGTTATTTTCTGGACACGGAATTCGTTTGGATATTACGTCTTATGAGCAAACTGTACCAGTTTATTTACGGTTGTAATTTATATACAGTAACACAAATGTCTTTACGTCAGTATTATGAAAAAGGGTCCCACGGCTGCAGTGGGTGAAAGATTGAGACGGGAACATTTCTCAAGGAGTGCCAAGAAAATGGAAAACAGGCAATGCAATAGTTCAGGGAGAGTTATAAATATCAAGTGCTGCCCTAGGTGAAATTTCATGCAAATGTCCTCACCCACTCAGGTAAACTTTTTATATAGGTATCAGAATAAAATTTCTTGAACTATATAGACTTTTATTCACTTGATTTCCCTTAAGTAAGTTAAAATAACTGGCTGTTGACAGGGCACATCTGGATATTTCTATCGGTCCCATAGAGATAATCTGTTAAATTTTAGAACACGGTAGATTATATTTGCTATTTCCCCAAATGGACTTTACAAAAGCCATCCGTGGCCCCAAAGATGTATCTGGACCTCTCATCATGTGTGACTAAATAGGCCTCAGTGAATTAAGCTGAGAAAGCTGCAAAACAAAGCAGATCACTTCAGTTATGGAACATGAAGAGAACAAAAGTAGCTTTATGCCACTGGATCTTTAGTGAGAAGATAGAATAAAAAGAAGAAAAAAATATTGGAGGATGCAATATAAACCAATTGAAACGTATCCAACCGATGATCTGGCTTTGAAGTGGCTATTTACTGGTGTGGTCCTAGACCATGGTGTCCAGAAGGATACATCAATGTGTTTTGAAAGATCCTAAACCAAATATACTTGTAATAATGACAGGTACGTTTCTGTCCTCCTAATTCCAGCTTTAATCCTAACACGTCCGGTTGTGATAATACGTTCACAGTCGTGCCACTTAGGGATATCACGTCTTATGTCTTCTCTGCAATATCTTAAATGCTCAGAGAAGTTACACCTTCTGACAAAAGGACGTTATGTGTGTCACCCACACGGGGACACACACACACACTCTGTTTGCCCGGAGTGCTGTGTAGCTTACCATGTCCAGTTATAGTTTAGGTCTAGCATCCACATAGGAGGGAAAACACGTGCCGTGCCGTTGGTCGGTCGGTCGGTCGGTCTGTCTGTCTGTCTTTCCGCCGGTCTGTCTTCCCCTGGCATCACCTGTTCTAGGTTCTTCTCCGCCGCCGGCAACCCCCCCCCCCCCCCCCGCCCCTCGCGCTCCTAGTCCGTCGATCTACTTCCCTCTGTCTGACATAATCTTATTCTTATTCTTTGGGGAATGGATGAATAAACTTTTACCTTGTGGATATTGTACACACACCGTAACGTGTGTGTGTGTGTGTGTGTGTGTGTGTGTGTGTGTGTGTGTGTGTGTTGACGGAATAGAGTGTTTGCCATGCCTGAACCCCTGGCTCTGCCTCTCTACCCGTCTGTGATGCGATGTGTGTGCTGGGGCACTTGTGCCTGCGTATGTTCCCAGTGCGAACTCCAAAGAGAAGTACGCCCGCCGGGCCTGTGGGTTCTAACCATGCTTCACCCCCGGGCGATAGGATCGCCCCTCTGACTGACGCCTCCACTCTGTTTGGGCCGGGGCCCCTCGTCTCTCCCTGTGTTTCCTCCTAGGGTTCCCTACCTGCCCTCCCCCCAGCCCCGCGCACACACACACACACACACACACACACACACACACACACACACACACACACACACACACACACACACACTGTGCACCGCCACGCTCGGGTCCAGGTCCTCCACCACAGGCATGTGAGTGATGATGCCTCTACCCTCCGACACCTGTGTGTAGGGTTTAGATTCATCGCCTCATGCCCCGAATCCTGCTCCAGAGAGAGAGTGGCAGAGCCTATTAGAAAAGGCTAGCTGTCTGGACAGGCTAGAGTACGAACCGGTGAGAAGGTCGTTCCGTCCGGTGCGGTGCCCGGGGATAAGCGTCACACGGGTGCCACCTCCCCTTCCTTCCCCACCCAGCCAGCAGCGGCTCTCGTTTGGCTTTCCTGTCATTCGGTGATGGGTGAGTGGACTCACGCTTCCCATTGCACGGTCACCGTGGTTTTCCAGACCTGTGTGCGTGACGTAGCTACTCTCTGTGTGTTAGAAGAAACCTCTCTCTGGCCTTCCCCCTGCCCTTTCCCTGCCTGTGAGGGGTGGCGGGTGGGGGCGGGGGGAGGGAGTGTGTTGTGGGGCGGGCGAGGAGCGGACTTTCACAAGTGAGCGGGGTGCCTCCCGACGGCTCGTCTCTTGCTGGAGCCGACCCATCTTTGGGAGTTTTTTTTTTTTTTTTTTTCTCTTTCTGGTTTCCATCTGGGGGAAAAAGAAAACAAAACGTACAAACAACCCCCCCACCCCACCCCCCCCCAAAAAAAAAAAAAAAGACGGGCAGGCAGACGGTGGGACGAGCGCTCACTTGCCCTTTTCTGGCCATGTTGGGCGGGGGTGGGGGTCTTGCCACGGGCGGCGGAGGTCGTGCGGGTGGCCGGTTCGTTTTCTCTCGTGGTGCGGGCCTGCCGTCTTTGCCGCCCCTTCCTGCTTGGGACCGATCCCGGCTTCCCGGTTCTCGGGTTCGGGCCGCTCCGTTCGGGCGAATGTCGTCCTGGTTCCTGGTTTCACTTTGGTCGCTGGCGGCGGCGGCGGCGGCGGCGGCGGCTCGATCTCGGTCTAGGTCTCTGGTGGCTCTGGTGTCGTTCGTGAGGTCGCAGAGAGGACCCGGCTGCAGGTCCTGACCTAGGTTGTGCCACTCGGTGCGTGGCGGTGGTGAGTGAGGCGATTTGTTTCCGTGTTCTGTGTCTCCGGAGCTCAGAGCCGGCCGGCGCGCGCCGATCCGGGGTACGGCGGCTCGGTGGAGTCGGTCGTTGGAAGGCGGTTGTCGTGCTCCCCCTGGCGTCCGCTTTGATATGACAGTCCCCTCGTTCTCAGCCGAGCGAGCGAGTGGAGGAGGAGGAGGTCTGGCGGCAGCGAGCCGGGCGGAGGCCCGGCCTCTGCCGGGTGCCGGGCGCGACTGTCGCCGTGGTGTCGCTGTGGCGCCGGGGCGGCTGTTCTGTCGGACTTTGCGCCCGCAGGCGAGCGCGGGGTGGGGCCGTGCGTCGCCGCTCTCTCTTCGGTGCCCGGTCTGTGCGGGGGGTGGCAGCTTTGTCGGGTCGACCAGTAGTTCTGTCTGGGCCCGACGCCTTGTCCTCCTCCCCTCCCTGGACTCTGGTCTTTGAGGGCGAAAAAAGGAGAGTACGAGGGACGTCTCGGGAGTCGGGGGAGAGGGTCCCCGGGTGAGCCGATAGGTGGTGGGGCCGGTCCCGGCCCGGACTCGGACCCCCCCCCCTCCCCGGAGTCACCTCCGAGTGAGCGCTTGGCGCGTGCCGGGCGCGAGGGCCTGGGTCGCCGGCCCCGTGTGGCCTCCCTCCACGGCCTCCTCCACGGCCCCGGAGGCCGGAGGACAGACCTCTCCGGCGGGAGGAGCCGCGGGCACGGCCGAGGCGAGCCTCGGGGCCGGGACCTACCTACCATCTGCGGGGACTTGCCCGGTGGGCCCTGCGTGGGGGAAAACTCGAGGCGGAGGGAGCACCTCGGGAGTCGGGGACCCGAGCCCGGGAGTCCCGGGTGTGTGCGTGCTGGCGGCAGGGCGCTCACCACCGACCCCGCGCGGTGTGGGTGTGGTGGTTGGGTGCCTCTCGGAGTGGGTGCCTCGCGTCTGCCGGGGGAAGGCTCCCCGTACCGCCCGTGCGGTGAGCCCGTGCACACCCGGGGTGTGTGCCTGCGAGGTAGTGGGGCGGGAGCGTCCCTTGACCCCGCTCCCGCCCTGGCTCTTCGTCTGTCTTCGCCTTATGTGGTCGACCAGCTGTCCCTGAGAGTTCCGTGTCTGGCTCTGTTGGGGACGTGTTGGGGACAGGTGTCCCTGATGTGGTTTCCGAGAGGTCCCTGTCGCCAGCGAGTTGTCGCCCCTGCCTGACGACCTGGTTTTGGCGTGGTGACGTGAGGATTTTGTACCTGCAGGAGGGTGCTGGCATGCTGTGTCCCGGTGGCTGTCAGCGGGTCTCTGGGGGCTCTCTCGGATGCTGTGTGCCGGGCCTTTCCCGTCTCTTCCCGGTCCGGGTCCCCCTGTCCTTCCCCTCACACCCTGGGCTCCCGCTGCCCTGAGCAGGCCCTGTGTCCCTGTGGTGGCTCGTGGGTGTGGTGGTGGTTGGCAGCTGAGTGAGTCCCGTCGTCCTTGATCTCTCCCCCGCTCCCGGTGCCGGATTCTGGCCCTTGCCTCGGCACGCTGAGGAGGAGAGTGGTTGGTTGCCTGGGGTGTGCATAGGTAGGGCCCGCACGGTGTGCTTCCCTCGCCGTGGCCGGCTTGAGGAGGAAAAAAGGGGGGGAGGGGCGCCGCCGCCGCCGCCGCCGAGTCCTGCCTTGCGTGTGCGGCATCCCCGTTCTGCCGTTGGGCTCGCCCGACCTCCGTGGCTTTTTTTTTTTTTTCCTTCCTCCTATCGCCCCTAGCTCCGACTCCCCCGACCTGCCGCTTCCCGATGGCGGGCCTGGTCGGCCGCTGAGCTGCGCTACCTCCCGAGCGCTGTCCGTGGCTTTTTTTCTTTTTCTTTTTTTTTTTTTTTCCCCTCCCTTTCTAGCTTCTTCGGTCCTGTGCCCGGCAGAGGTGTCCTGGTTATCCCGAGTGCCAGGGACGCTTAAGCCCCGTGGTATTTTTTCATTTTTTTTTTTCTTTTTCTTTTTACCTCGGTCCTTACTCACGGAAGGGTGTCTGTCCTGGCTACGCTTTTATCCCCAGGCTGTTGGCCCTCTCAGGAGCCGAGCTTCCCTGGGCCACCGCCTCCCGAGTGCCGCGTGGCTGCCTTCTCCCACCCCCTCGGTGTGATTGATGTGGTGACGTTGCGATCTCCTTCGGGCCCGGGCCTAAGCTGCGCCAGGCGAGGGACGGACATTCATGGCGAATGGGACCGCTCTTCTCGTTCTGCCCGTGGGCCCCTGCCCTCACCCGTCCCACCGTGCCGGCGCCGGTGGTGTGCGGGGAGGCGGGGGTGCGGCAACCGGGCCCGGCTGTGCTCTCCCTGCCCTCGCCGTGAGGTCGGGGACTTGTACACGCTGGAGGAGGGGGGCGCCCTGATCTTGCTCCTCTCTTCCCGTGACTCGTTATCGGCACGGGGGTCGGCTCTCTCCGCGGAGAGGGAGGGTCGGTGCTCCGTGCTTGCCCGTGCTGTGTGGTGTGAAAAACCGCGCCTCGCGCTCTGCCCTCTTGCGGTGCTCCCGGAACGCTCCCGGTTGGTTCTCTCAGGTGCCTGAGGCTGAGTGGTGGTGTCGTTCCCGATCCTGGCGTTGTCCGCTGCCTTGTGCCAGCCTGCTGCCCGTGGTGTGTCCCGGCCGTCCTCGGGTTCGTGGGGCTTTTGTGCGAGTGAGAAGTTACCGTTGAGATTGACGTCTCTGCTGGGGGGGTCGAGGCGGTTCCCCAGAGGAGCGCTCTTCCCTTGTTGCGCTGGGCGGTGGCTTCCCCGCATGAGCTGCCGCCCTGGTCCTGGCTTGTCTTCCCTGCCGTGTCACCTGGCTTTCATCGCACCGGGGGACCTGAGATGTTGCAGTGGGAGGCGAGCGGGGCCCGTGCGGGCTTCCCGCCCGTGTGCGCGACTTTGCTCTGGCCCCGCACGGCAAGGCCGACCGACCAGGGTTGGTGTTGCTGCTGCCGCAGACCCCCCCCCTGTGCCCCACCCCTCCCTGCCCCCCGTGGTGGGAAGGATGGACGCCTCTGATGTGTGCTGGTTCCCGGTGGGGTTCCCGTCGGGGTTGGGTGCGGGCCACCCTCAGAGTGAGGAGAGGTTCTCTAGCGATCCTCGTTCGGGAAGCGGCGTGCGCTGCTGGGTTGGCGGGGGCCCGCCCCCGATGGGCTCCCGCGGCCCTGCCGCTCCCTGCCCCGCTTTTGAGCGCTAGTGGCTGCCCGCGTCGGTAAACTGCGTGCCCGCGCCTCCCCCCTCCGAGCTGGGGGAGGGTCCCGCGGGACCTCTCCCGGGCCGTCGTCTGGTGTGGTGAGTGGAGGACGTTCCCGATCCGTCCCCGCCCCTGCCTCGCGTGCGGTGTGTCGAGTGGCGGAGCCTGGAGCCCGTGCCGGGTCGCGATGCGAGGGCGTGTGGTGTGTGGCTTCCCGGCCTCGTGCTTGGGTTGCCGTGGGGTTTTCGGGGGTCCCCCGTCCCCCTCCCCCTCCGGCCCCTGGCGACGCTGTTCCCGAGCGTCTGTGTGGGCCGCCGCCCGTTGGCGACGACGGCGCCGTGCGGGCGCTGGGCCCCGCGGTGTTCCGGGGCCGCCGTGCCCGTGGTGGTGCGCCGCTCGGGGGGGTTCTGGCCCCCCGGAGCCGAGGATCCCGGTGTGTGTGGGCCCTTGCTCACGCGGCCGAAAAAGAGGCGGTCGATGATGGGTGCTGTGCCCGGCGGTGTGGTGTGGATGGAGGCGGTGGGGCCCTGCTGGCGCGGGCGGCTCCGCGGGCGTTCACGGGGTCTTTGAGGTGTGTGCGAGAGCTGCCTTTTCCCTCTCGGGCCTCTTTTGGGGGGGCCCGCCGCTGCCGCGGTGGGGGTTTCCGGTCCGCTGGTCGGCCGGCTCGGTGTCCCAGGCGTTGCGCGGGACCGCCCCGGAGTTGGGGGTGGTGAGATCCCGCGTTCGTTTACCTGGCGTGCCGGCTGTGCCCGGAAAGGTCCCACCTCCCCGTTGGTCTGCGGCTGCGCCACCCGCCCGTGTGAGGGGGTGGCCGCTCGCTCACTCGCCTCTCGCCCCGGTGACCCGACCCGGTGACCCTCCCGCTGCTCTTCTTGTTGTGCTTCCGGCGTGCCCTCCTCACCCGCATCAGCCTTCCGCGATCCTCGCCGGTTTGGCCTGGTGGCCGGCCACCGGCGGACGGTCGAGTCGGGCGTTGTGTTGGTGTTCTCTTGGGGGGGGGGACGGCGCTCAGCTCGTGAGGCTGCTCCCCCGGTGTGGGGGAGGCACGTCGTCGCGGCGGCGGTGGCTTTTGAAGGGTCTTCCCGGATCGGTTTTGCTCACGACGAGGGTTCCTGCCAGCGGGACCGCCGGTACGCCACGGGGGCGGTGGTGGTGAGATTCCCGCGTGCGTCCCTCGCTCGGGAGTTGGCCGTCCGAGGGGCCCGAAGCCGGCGTCACGACGTGCCTCCTCCCGCTGGGCGCCGCCTCGCGTGCCTGCGCGATGTTGTCCCGGGTTCCCGCGCCTCCCTCCCGCTTCGCCGTGCGTAGGCTTGCCCGCATCGCATCGTCTCCTCCGTCTCGAGCCGTGTGGCTTCGTCCCCGCCCCTGTCCCGGATCCGGGGTGTTGTGCTCTCTCGGCGTGTCGCCGCCGCGTGCCCGGCGCGACCCCGGTTCCCGTGCTTGGCCCTGTCCGCTCTGTGCCGGCGGTGTCCGCGTGTGAGCGTGCTCGCGTGCGTTGGGTTTGGTGTCGCCCGCCTCCCGGGGTCCCTGCCGCCGCCTCCGGCCGCCGCCGTTGGCCGGTGACTTGTCGCCGACGGGTCGTCGCCGCGGACCCCCGACCCCCTGCCGGCACCGCCGGTCCGCGGCGGCGCGGGTCGCTGTGTGCTCGGCCCCCGCGTCCGTGCGAGCGAGTGAATTCGGGCCGGCTTCTGAGGGAGGTTGGAGAAAAGACCCCCGTGGTCGTGTGGCGTGCGTTGCGTCGTGTGCGTCGCCCCTGGCTTTCCGGCCGCTCGGGTGTGCGCCACACGCGACCCGGCCGGCTGGCCCGCTGGACCGTGGACGTCGGCGCGCCGCCTCCGGGCGGAGAAAGGGGCCTGGCGCTCCTCCCCGTCCGTGTGTGCGCGCCGCCGCTCCCGTGCCCGCCGGGCCGGCAGGCGGGGTGTCGGTGATGCGGTGCCCCCGCGCTTGGGTGCGGTGCGGTGCCCTTCCCCCCCCCGGCCACGGGTTCCCCTGCCTGCCCTCTCCGTGCTCTTTCCTCTCTCCGCTCGTCACCGCGCGGTGGCCTGCTTGCGCCCGTGTGCCCGCGCCGCCGTCCTG